ACTTAATATCCAGGAACAAAAACAAACATTTTTTACACAGTGTTTAATAAAGTAGTGCTCATCTTCCAGGTAATTACGTAGCTAATTCAATTTGCCCCTGCTAGGGCTGCGTGTATATGTAGATTCCACCTGTAAATAGTCACAATTATACCAGGCGTAGTTTTCAGACGAGTAAAATACCAAATTTTATCATGTCCACATTCATATGTACTCATCTATTTGTGATAGTGAATATGTACGCAGCGTTTGCCACATTATCTTGTGAAAAACACATAAGGCGTTTTAATACTAGAATTATAGGCTGTACAATTTAAGAGGGCTTGTGTCTAAATATATATGATGTATATGATTACCTAACGGCTTGTGTGTACATATATATTGGTACATATATGGTCCTCTTAGCAGACATGTTTAATCGTGATGTTGATTGGGACAATTAGGAAAGGTTGAACGCAATTCAATCTCAGTGGAATAATCTCATCTTCATTAAACACATGCGTGGGTACCTCCCTTCCAGTGTTGAAAACCCCTTCAACAGTTTGTGGATATTTAAACAACAACAACAACAAAAAGCTATGATAATATGATGTGCAAAATAGAAGCTACTTGGTTGTGTAACTTTAAATGTCAAATGATGAGAGGTCGTTCTGGATAGCATTTGTTTGTGTAAAACATGTGTTCCACCTCCATGTCTCGATATTCCTTTACCAGCTCTCTCTCGTTTACATTTATAAGCAAATCTCTTACACTGGCATGCTAATATCTCACAATACAATGGCCACGCCCACAACTTCGTTTGTCAAGATTTACCCGATCTTACATTTACAAGCAAATCTCTTACACTGGCATGTTAATCTCTCACAATACAATGGCCACGCCCACAACTTCGTTTGTCAAGATTTACCCGATCTTACATTTACAAGCAGATCTCTTACACTGGCATGCTAATCTCTCACAATACAATGGCCACGCCCACAACTTCGTTTGTCAAGATTTACCTGATCTTACATTTACAAGCAAATCTCTTACACTGGCATGTTAATCTCTCACAATACAATGGCCACGCCCACAACTTCGTTTGTCAAGATTTACCCGATCTTACATTTACAAGCAAATCTCTTACACTGGCATGCTAATCTCTCACAATACAATGGCCACGCCCACAACTTTGTTTGTCAAGATTTACCCAATCTTACATTTACAAGCAAACCTCTTACACTGGCATGCTAATCTCTCACAATACAATGGCCACGCCCACAACTTTGTTTGTCAAGATTTACCCGATCTTACATTTACAAGCAGATCTCTTACACTGGCATGCTAATCTCTCACAATACAATGGCCACGCCCACAACTTCGTTTGTCAAGATTTACCCGATCTTACATTTACAAGCAAATCTCTTACACTGGCATGCTAATCTCTCACAATACAATGGCCACGCCCACAACTTTGTTTGTCAAGATTTACCCAATCTTACATTTACAAGCAAACCTCTTACACTGGCATGCTAATCTCTCACAATACAATGGCCACGCCCACAACTTTGTTTGTCAAGATTTACCCGATCTTACATTTACAAGCAGATCTCTTACACTGGCATGCTAATCTCTCACAATACAATGGCCACGCCCACAACTTCGTTTGTCAAGATTTACCCGATCTTACATTTACAAGCAAATCTCTTACACTGGCATGCTAATCTCTCACAATACAATGGCCACGCCCACAACTTTGTTTGTCAAGATTTACCCAATCTTACATTTACAAGCAAACCTCTTACACTGGCATGCTAATCTCTCACAATACAATGGCCACGCCCACAACTTTGTTTGTCAAGATTTACCCGATCTTACATTTACAAGCAGATCTCTTACACTGGCATGCTAATCTCTCACAATACAATGGCCACGCCCACAACTTCGTTTGTCAAGATTTACCTGATCTTACATTTACAAGCAGATCTCTTACACTGGCATGCTAATCTCTCACAATACAATGGCCACGCCCACAACTTCGTTTGTCAAGATTTACCCGATCTTACATTTACATGCAAATTTCATCTCTATCCCGCCCACTGCACCCATCCCAAACCTTTATAGCTCCTTACCTTAGCAGGGCTCCTGTCATATATATGTGTTAATGCTTCAGCAGCTCTCACCTGATAACGATTGCTTGTGCTGCAACACGTAGATGAACTAACCACTTTAAGAATACACATTTCATACAAGTAAAGTGTTTATGCTTTCCATACCAAAGTAACTTTAATTCAAAATACATCTATGATCTCAAGAAAATTCAAGCGTGACATTGTTACTGCAGCTTGTTGATGCCTCACTGAGTCTCATTGGGACTCTACTCAGTATATATATACACATACGCAAAAATGAACGTATACACTTAAAATTAGATATGCGTACGCAAGACGGCGGGCTGCCTTGAACCCCAAGAAGTTAAAGCGTCCTCTGTGCAGAGTCGAGCGAGAGGCGCCGACTTCCACAGGTAAGTTGCGTTGTATTAGTCTGGACGGATGTGGCAAGCGTGCCACTGCGTGCACAAGCGAAATGTGCGCCTGCCCTGCCAGGGCACGGCGTGATTTGAACAATTTAATGCCGATGAAACACAGCAGTTTTGAGTTTGAAGCGCTACGTGGTTGTCACATCGACTTGGAGTGACTCACCCCATCCCCTTCCCCCCACAGGCAGAGAGATTCAACTGTGGAGCAATCCGCGTGCCGCAGTTTGAATCAATTCTCTGACGTCTAACTTTACCGTCTCGTTTGAGTCGTTTCTAATTTATATTTCTCTCTTTCAATGCTACAGCCGTGTCCGTCCCAATCGCCTAAAACGTGTAGTTTGCATAACGTTTGTCCACACGAATAATATATTCGTACGCGCGCAGTCTGATGCGTGTACCGTGAGCGTGATGAGTTATTTCAACCAATCGATGCAGCGATTGTGATCAAGTCCGGGTTCAGGCGTTAGTCACTCCGCTCCTGCTAGAGAAGGCCCTTGCCACTTCCATGCGGCTTGTGGACGTAATTTGGACCACCCTTCTGCAAGTTTGTGAAGTTGGGGGGAGCATAGACACTAAGGCATAAAAGTACAGTACAACAAGTGGTTAGCGCAGTGCGCTGTGACCCCGGCCAATTCGCAGACACAGCTGACATCAGTGGTGACAGCTGAGCCGATCCGTGTCACCCGCTACTCCAACCCGCAGTGACCAGCACGGTCAAATATAGGCCCAACAACTCCCATAACATGACATGGGGGTGCATCAATCCAGCAGTGGATTGACGACGAGCCGCACGTTTTTCCATTTTCATTATTAAACCAACATATTACGGCAATGTCAACAATCCCAAGTGCAGCCTTCCGGGCTGGGCTCCGCGTTGATAATTTATTATCTCAAGCTTTCGTCACGCACGACTGACTGCGCGGTGGTGGGGGGTGCATCGAAGTGGTGGCGACCATAAACGACACCCGGGGTTGTGTTTGGTAGGACATTCGTGGGAGTGCCCAGCGTGGAAAGACACGGGGCGTCAGTGGAGGTGGCGGCAGTGTTTCACGCTCACCGCTGCCCCTTGTGAAAGACTCAACGCAGGAGATCCCAGGGGTTAGATCTTCCACGAAGCTCATGGTCCACTCAAAACGGCATCCTTACAAACCATGGCAGTAGATGCGCATTCCTGATGCACAAATGGAGAAGTAAAAACTCTCCAGTAGTACTGTGCGACTGTGGTCATCCAGAACATACATTACAACACATACCGAGAAAATGCCCGATCCACAAATACGAAGGAGTCATCACGGCGATAGACTCCGCTACTCCTGACGCTGCTGCCCGGCTTGGCCACCTGAACGCGAGCTTGCGGTTTGTTGCTCTGCATCTACATCAGCAGCCGGACGAGAATAAGAGGAGCATCGCCGCTTGCGTCCAAGCCGGTCCTAGACACAGCAGCAACTCATTCCCAGGTGAAGAGCAGCCGAGGCAGCTGCTCGCAGGGAGCCACTGAACAACGTCGTTCCCCGCCTAAGGAATAAAAAAAGCCCCAAATTGCGGCTGCATATCTCCTTCTCGTCTGTCCCAGCGGCGTGCCTTCGACGGGGGCGCGCACACGCGGGGAGTGAAAACGCACGCGCTCCGCCCGGCCTCTCGTGCTCTCGAGGTGTTAAGTGATGCATATTGATTGGCCGCCGAATTACTTTACCCAGATTTGTGACACCGCTCCGTTTGTTTTTGTAGTCGCTCTTTTATGGCGCGCCTACAGTTTGTTCACATGTCCTGACGCATACATGATTCACGTTCAGATTTGATTCGTCACACGGGAAATATGAAATCTAGACTGCTTCTCCGTTTGCCTTTTACCCGCAAGGCACAGATTTAGAGAAGAGATGTTATAACCTTGCTCTATGAAAGCACAACCAAAGTCTGTTGTAAGTTTGTGTACGGCTCTTTTCAATTCACTCGTCACCGGTAGCCGCGAGCCTTGCCAACTTTATATCGGCGTTATTGTCACTGATGCTGAAGCGGTGTAGCGAGCGTGGGGGGGGCAGGCAAGGGGGGGTGCCTTGCCCCCCCCCCCCGGGTGGCCAAAGCTGCGAGTTGGGGCCCCCTTGACAACCACCGTGAGATTTGTTTTCAACAACAGTGCGAGGAAGTTCTACATAACACAATTGTGTTGAAAAGTTCCCGCGGGAACTTCTTTGCGTGTGCAGCCCGACGTCGCTCAGCATGCACATGGACAAATGACGTTCGGAATACTCAACACTCACCCTGGACGTGCTTTTTATTTTACTCGGGATTGCTTCTCCTAGGCTCAAAGAAATATTCCGTGACTCAAGTGCATAAAACCCTTAAGAATTATACGAGCATTCTGGAGCGTGTAATTGTGCGTACGCTGCAGGCATAATTTAAATGTAAATGTGGCACGAGGAGAGTGTTTTTTTACCTTCCCTTACTTCTGCATTTTTTGGTCCCTCCCCCTCTCTTCTCTTTGCAGGAATCATTCTGAGAGCAACTCATTTGTGAAAAAATGCTGCAAGGGATTCTGCATCGACATTCTGAAAAAACTGGCAAAAACGATTAAATTTACCTTCGATCTTTACCTCGTGACAAACGGGAAGCACGGGAAGAAAGTTCGAGGTGTGTGGAATGGAATGGTAGGCGAGGTAATGTTTGACGGATAACATCTCTCTTTGGCCTCATTGTCCTGTGTCCCTCCCCGCCTGTCCCACGCTTCCTCTTGTCCCGTGCCACGAAGGGTGTCATCTCCCCCCCCCCACCCCACTACCCACACGACTGCGATGGGACAGATCTGTCCATTCACAAATCTGTCCATTCACAAATCTGTCCATTCACAAATGTATGTACGTGTATGTGTGTTGAACTTCCTTCGCACCGCACGTAGCCAACCGAGCTAACGGAGGTGCAAGAGAGAACGTGCGCACAGACACACACAACGCGAGCTCGTTTATACGAGTGCACTATTACAACAAAGAGACCAATACTCCACGTAGAGCCCACGTGGGCTGTTAGGGAAAGTGATGTTAGTGAGCAGCACCTATGAAGACCGCCATAGCGGATTTGAGGGTGGTGTGCCCAGCACCACGCCCGGCCACCTTTGTCTCCAGGGAGCTGACGTTTACACGCTCTACCGGGTACTCAATTAAGGCCGCGTCTGCCTAGGAGAGGCACAGGAACGGATAAGATATTTAATTCTAGACAGTCTCGTCCCTTCACCTGATGAAGGCCGCTTGTGTTGTGGCCGAAACGTCGTGATTTTTGTTATTTTATTTTTTACCTACGTGTCTTTACCCAATAGAACCAAAGAGTATGGATAAGATATTTGCCAAATATCCGTGAGCAGTAATCAAACTCAGACTATCAGGTTCATAGTACAGTGTGTGGACCACAATGCCACCACTCCCCTTATACACATAGCCACACACACATGAAGAAAGACGTAGATCCCCCATTTAGTCGTATGGACTCTAAGCACAAGCTAGCGCATACTGAGGCCACCATGGCATATGAGGACACTGTCTGGTCAGCACGACACTCTTCCGCATTTGTCGCTCCAGTACTGATGTTCAAACTGAACCAGGTATATATATATTCAAGGCTGAGTCCACCTAGGGGAGGCTTAGTAGAGGTTCAGATAGTCGTAGTTGCCAGCGGTGTTCTGCATTACCAGGAATTGAGGCAAGGTCTCAACCATGGTAGCACGATGCGTGAACCATTGCTGCACCACACAACAAAGACAAAGATCCCCCATGTAGCCTTGACAGACTTTTGGGTTAAGTGCTGTTAGTGACCACCTATGAAGGCCGGCATGGCACACGTGGAGGTGGATGGCCAGCACCACGCCCGGCTGAACTTTGTCTCCCCAGTGACGATGTTTACTACACACCGCACCAGGAACTCATTTGATGCTGAATCGACCTAGGGGAGGCCCAGGACCAGTTCAGATGATAGTAACTGGTGTTGGCCGTGAGCGGGAATCGACCTCGGTCGCCCGGTTCGTAGCGCAGCGTAGCGCTAACCGCTCCACTACCGCTCCCCACACACACACAAGCACCTATACATTATTATAATTACACAAGCCATGCACACACGCACACATTCACCTATAACTGTGTATGTACGTCGGCAAATATACACTTAAACTAAAAACACTTCAATAAGGTGAAAGTGCAATTGTGGGGCGTACTTAGCTCTAGAATGTGCTTCTTGTCAAGTGATTGTTTCAAGTGACTATTAAAGAGACACACGAAGGTTGGGGCTAAACACCACTTTAGAGTGAAACGCAAGCAGTAAATTACCTCGTCGTGTTATTTAATGCTCTCCGGGAAATGGCACAAGTGTATAATCAAAGAGCCCTTCGATGAATGATTCTACCATGCAGAATAATCACATCCTTGTTTGGACATCCCTTGCCATCTTTCCCATAGGTTTATTTTAATTACTCAATTGGGATTACACGTAGCAATCATCGTTCACGCCCCAACTGGCAGACTCATGACCACTTGCAGGCTGATGCCCTGCGCTGCGTAGGGACAGCTGCCATTTGGGGGTCCCCTAGCCAAACCAAAAAAAAATATCTCATTTGGTTATGGGTGCAATTCATATGCAAGTCTCATTAGCAGTATATTTTAATGAACACCTCATTCGAGAACCAAAAATCGCACCTCCTGGATTTGCCACTCCTCCTCAAAGACACCGGTGGTGCAACCATCAACCGCATCAGAACATTGACAGCAGGCCGATGCCCCCGTCTCCTTCATTAATTAAAAAATACAGCCACAGCAGTGCGACTGTGGCCACGCAACTTGAACTATGGACCATGTCGCAATCCACTATGTTCTGAGCTCCTTCAACAGAGGAGGAAGGCAAAACTACACACAGGCAAAACTACACACACCCTCTGCTGAAGCCCTCTTGTCGTGGCTAACAGACCTCGACACTGGCATTTAGCTCACGAATCATACTGCTGCTGTCATCATGCCCAAGAATAGAATCGTTTAATTTAAATATTGGATGCATGATTCACAGCGAAAGGTAGATTTTGCCATACGCGCAGGCTAAATCATGATGGTGCCATGTGACGTTCATTGCAAGTGCCGCTGTGGTGAGTGGGAGTGCTGGCTGCGTCAAGTATTTTTGCACCTCCTGCGTGTGTGGCCTCAATTGCCGGTGAACTGCCACCAATTACGCCCACGGGTTAGATTATAGGGCGATTCTCATCATTGGCGGCTCCTTCTTGTCTTCGATGAATTGTTCAAAATTCACAAAAGGGAAACTGGTGCCTTGCAAGGCGATGGACCCGCAGGCCTTGTGGTCAACGAGCCAGTTGCATGTCGGCACGCAATGGTCAGGGACACAGCAGTGCCGGCGTCCTTACCCCAATACATTGTGATCGCTGATTATACAGTGTCACGAAAATATACTTTTTTTTTCTTCTTTGGTTCTTTCGGTAAAGTCACGTAGAATGAGAATAAAATAATACATTAATAAAGTAAAATAACACAATAAAATTCTAACGACGTTTCGGCCACAACACAAGTGGCCTTCTTCAGGTGAAAGGAACAGACCTGTCGGAACGACAGAGCTTCAATGAACGTTGTTAAGATTCGAAGCGTCTTTTTAAGCTGGTTTAGAGAAGTGAGGCACCTTGACAAAGGGGTTTACATATAAAACAGGAGAATTTAGCATTGAATAGGTATGTTCCTGGGTAGTAAGTATTATTTACTAATTGCTTATGCCTCAAGAGTACAGAAAATGGCTATTATTCCCCACAAACTTTGCTTTTGTGACCAGGACATTGCTATTTTAAAATGTACTTATTTGTAATGAAAAAACGTGGTGTGCATTTGTGTTATTCCTTCACATAAAGTCCTGGTCACAAAAGCAAAGTTTGTGGGGAATAATATCCATTTTCTATACTTTTGAGGCATAAGCAATTCGAAATAACACTTACTATCCAGGAACAAAAATCGTGTTCCACAGTGTTATGATTCATCACCTTCCAAAAGAGGGGTTTTCTCTTCGACAGCTGACGTTACAGCCGGCTTGGATTAAAAAAAAACCCGCATGACATGCCGCGTTCTGAATGAACCATCCCACATCTACAGTATGCAACTGTACAACACACGCGAGCCCTCGCGTGAGACTGCTGGCAGCTTAGGAGTTGGCTTAGAGTACACCGCACTGCTCCGTTGACGTAGGGAGAGTGAATTGAACTCCGCTGGCTTTCACTGCAGTTCGGAGCGCTGTGTGCATGTGCGTAATGCCACTCTGCATTCGAGACTTTGTTCGTCATCGGCAGCAGCTGCTCAATCCACTAGCAGATGAAGGTCCCTGCAAGCTGTCGCAATCCCTCATCACGGCCCCGCAACTTAACAAATCCGCCTCCCCCTGCACACGAGCAGTGGCTAGATGTTAACTACCTCGCCTGGTATGCAGGAGGTCGTGGGTTCGATCCCAACCCTGACACCTGTATATTTGGAATTTGCATGTTGTTCCCGTGGACGTGTGGATTTCTCTCCAGGTCCTCCGGTTTTTCCCTCCACATCTACAAGAAAAGAGTATTTGGCTGCGAAAATTTCCACATGATTGTCCACTTCATTGAGCTATAATTTGTGACAGCCATGTCGCTTTTAAAAAAGAGCTACATAGCTCAGTGGACCTTACCTGGTAAAATACAAAAAAGTAGTTTCGTTTTGCACTTTGCTGCTTTTTTTTGGTTTGCTTCTGGACAACATTTTTTTACAGTTTTAGAAACATGCACTCTGTGAATGGCAATTAGCGCAACTAAACACGCCGCAGGCGTTGGACAACCTGCAGTTGGAGAACAAACAATTGCTCAAACATTCTTAAAGGAAAATATTTAAAGCTGCTCGACTGTATTCGGTGGATATATGTACATACACGCATGAATATCTTTGCAGTCTGTGCAAGGCGAATTGCATTTGTGGGACCGAGAACAATCTGCAAAGACATTTGAACAGCACTGCAAATATGCACTACATCAAGGTGCTTATGGAAGAGCAGTCTTGCCTTCTGGCTTTATCGCCCTGTCAAGTCTTCTGTATGCGAGTCGTCTAAGATTTAGAAATAATAATAAAAAAACATCAAACACCCGTGACCTTCCCCTGTGCAGGACTAAGATGCAGAGTTTTAAAAGTAGGCCATAAAAGCACATTTAGCACTTGAGTAATGCCGCGAGAAAAAAACTAAACATGCTTTGCTTTTCGATTTAAAGCTTTCGTGACTGCAGGGATTCATCTTCTTGGTTCTTTCGGTAAAGCCACGTAGAATGGAAATAAAATAATAAAAATAGTAACAATAAAATTCTCACGACGTTTCGGCCACAACACAAGCAGCCTTCCTCAGGTGAAGAAACAGGTCTGTCCAGAAGACAGCGCTGTCTTCCGGGAATTCCAAGGTCGAGCAGTGGGTGGGTGGGTGAGTGAGTGGGTGGGTGAGTGGGTGAGTGGGTGAGTGGGTGGGTGGGTGAGTGAGTGGGTGGGTGAGTGGGAGGGTGGGTGAGTGGGTGGGTGGGTGGGTGAGTGGGTGGGTGAGTGAGTGGGTGGGTGGGTGAGTGGGTGGGTTGGTGGGTGGGTGAGTGGGTGGGTGATTGGGTGGGTGGGTGAGTGGGTGGGTGAGTGGGTGGGAGGGTGAGTGGGTGGGTGAGTGGGTGGTTAGGTGAGTGAAGGAGTAAGTGTTGTGATCCTGGCGTAGCGGTCAGCGCGCTGCACTACGCTACAAACCCGGCAACCCGGGTTCGATTCCCTGCCCATGGGCAACACCGGTGACAGTTATCTGAACCGGTCCTGGGCCTCCCCTCGATCGACTCAGCTTCAAATGAATACCGGGTACGGTGTGTAAACATCGCCACTGGGGAGACAAAGGTGGTCGTGTGCAGTGCCGGCCTTCATTGGTGCTCGCCGTAACAGCCTGTTAAGCTTACACGGGGGATCTTTGTCTTCTATTGTGACCTGCACTCTGGTGGGTGAACGCAGTGTGGATGAGACGACACACTCAGTGTGGCAGACCGAGTGCTTAACATGCGTAGAGGACGTTCATGGAAGAGAGGAACCGTGGCAGGGAATTGCGCTCAGGTCAATGGGCTCCTGATTCAGTGTGCCACTTAATCCCTCATAGTATCGCCAGATTCGTATGCACATTCACATCTGAAATCGTCTGCAGTGATGTTAACAAATTTCTCCTATATGCCACACCTTCCTTCATGGAGTTGGGCAAACATCCCAATGCAGCAAGAGCCTTGAGAGTAATTGAGCCTTTTTTTTTGTTTGACTACATTAAGGGCATTAATTCTACATTTGAAGCTTTCGTGACTGCAAGGATTCATACTCTTTGTTTTTTTTTCGGTAAAGTCACGTAGGTAAAATAAAAATAAAATAATATAATAATAAAACAACTAAATTAAATCACGACGTTTCGGAGGCAACACAAGCTTCTGTCTTCAGGTGGAACAGTCACAGCAAGATAGCTGCATAAAGATGCAGCTATCTTACTTATTTTATTATTATATTATTTTATTTTTATTTTACCTACGTGACTTTACTGAAAAAAAAGAGTACATTAAGGGAATTATTTATGAACGTTATAATCAAGTGGCCTTACCTGACCACCACTGTGTGTGTGCAACGCACGTGAAGCGATTTGCTGTTTACTTTTCTATTTCCAGGTGGTGTACAAGCGCGCAGACCTAGCCATGGGCTCGCTGACCATAAATGAGGAACGCTTGGAGGTTATCGATTTCTCCGTGCCCTTCGTGGAGACGGGCATCAGTGTGATGGTGTCCAAAGGGAATGGGACCGTCTCCCTCTCCGCCTTCCTGGGTATGGCGCCCGGCAGACAAACCCACGCTTACACCACTGGCATCAGATCAGACCACAGTTTAACCCCCCCACCCACGTGATTTGTCACGGTACCTCTCTCCGGGTTCGTTTGTCTCTTCGGTCCAAATGTAAATGTTCATTACAATCTGCACGTGCCAGATGATTGGTAAACATGCAAGAATCATAACCTTGGTTTATACAGGAGGGAAACGATGAGCTATGAAGCATGTGCGGGTCAGCAAGTCTCAACAATAAAAAAAAACACGGTAGGAGTGTAAAATAGAGAAAATGGTGAGCAAGTCACTGAATAGAAATACATTATTTATATATGTCCCATTTATCAAGCTTGGGCAAGGCAACAACAACAACAAGATCACAGTCCCAGACCACACACATGTAATGGGTTCAACTGAGTCGCAGAGGTAGACTTGGAGGCAACACAATTATTCAGTTGCAACACCGGGTAACTTTCCCCTTAACCGAATAACAACCTATGATTGTGACCACCAGGCTCACTACACTAGTAACTACATTAGTAACTACACTAGCTACAACGTAACTGGTGTAGTTAGCCGGGTGGTGACCACCAGGCTAACTACACTAGCAACTACACTAGCCACCAGGCTAACTACACTAGCTACTACGTAACTGCTACTACTGATCGGGACCAACAGCTTCGGCCCGGGTCCACGTGTTTGGAGACTCGTTGAACGGAGAACGTTGACGAAGGGTTCCTTCCAGGATGAACAACAACGCCGGTCCCTCTCGGGACCCGGCTTATATTCTCTGCGGCATTGCCGGCTCCATCCTTGGCCACGTCCACCTTCCAGAATCCTCGGGAAGGATCTGTGTCCCAATCACGTGACCACCCCTAGCCCCCTCTTGGGGCCCCTTTATCAACTTAACTGGTCACGTGTCCTCCCGGGTCAACCAGAGTGCCATGGCCTCACGTGACTCTATCCTTCGGCCGGCACCCACACAGCCTGTCCTGTAGGGTCGGCACTGCACGCCAAGCGTGGTGCCATCCAGCGCTATCAATCAGCGCTCACCGGGCCCCTCTAGGGCCGGTACTACACCCACACCCCCACGGTGTCTGCGATGTCGCTACACCGCACGCCGTGACCCTCTAGGGCTGGCACTACACCCACACCCCCACGGTGTCCGCGATGTCGCTACACCGCACGCCGTGACCCTCTAGGGCTGGCACTGCACCCACACCATAGTGGTGTCTGCGATGTCGCTACACCGCACGCCGTGCCCCTCTAGCGCCGGCACTGCACCCAGAATGTTGACACCCAGCGATGTCACTACAAAAACATAACGCCACACCACAGTTGTCCCTCAATGCAATGGGACATTAACATTGAACTATCAATACTCGTGTTGCGGTAGAGATCTTCTATGCGTGTGTCCTCGAAGTGACCGCGAACAGCACTTGACGCAACAGTCTCGTGAAGGCTACACGGGCTTCTCTGTCTTTGTCCCAAGTAACATAGAGACAAAGAGACCATCGATTAAAAATTAGGTAGCGATTTGTTATCCTCTGAGGCCAGCAGCTATATTCACAACTTGAACATCAATTTATAGTTTCTACTCAATATCCGTATGAATGGCGATGTCTCCATTCATATATGGCATGGAGATCTTGATTTCACACTCGTACGTCGAGCGTGTAATGATGTGGATTTGTGAAAGGTGGCCACTCTGCGTTCCTCCAGCACTTGTGCCAGCACACAGCGTGTGTATGTACGTGTCTATGTATGTAGAACTTATTTCGCACCGTACGTAGTCAACCGTGATGAATGGATTTGCGGGGTAAGGACAACAAACTAAACACAAAAATCAGTTCTAAAGAAATTAGTTTTCAAGCTAGATTTTAAATTGCATACAGATAGGGAAAAAAGTATTTGATCCCCTGCTGATTTTGTACGTTTGCCCACTGACAAAGAAATGATCAGTCTATAATTTTAATGGTAGGTTTATTTGAACAGTGAGAGACAGATTAACAACAACAAACTCCAGAAAAACGCATGTCAAAATGTTATAAATTGATTTGCATTTTAATGAGGGAAATAAATATTTGACCCCTCTGCAAAACATGACTTAGTACTTGGTGGCAAAACCCCTGTTGGCAATCACAGAGGTCAGACGTTTCTTGTAGTTGGCCACCAGGTTTGCACACATCTCAGGAGGGATTTTGACCCACTCCTCTTTGCAGATCTTCTCCAAGTCATTAAGGTTTCGAGGCTGACGTTTGGCAACTCGAACCTTCAGCTCCCTCCACATATTTTCTATGAGATTAAGGTCTGGAGACTGGCTAGGCCACTCCAGGCCCTTAATGTGCTTCTTCTTGAGCCATTCCTTTGTTGCCTTGGCCGTGTGTTTTGGGTCATTGTCATGATGGAATACCCATCCACGACCCATTTTCAATGCCCTGGCTGAGGGAAGGAGGTTCTCACCCAAGATTTGACGGTACATGGCCCCGTCCATCATCCCTTTGATGCGGTGAAGTTGTCCTGTCCCCTTAGCAGAAAAACACCCCCAAAGCATAATGTGTCCATCTCCATGTTTGACGGTGGGGATGGTGTTCTTGGGGTCATAGGCAGCATTCCTCCTCCTCCAAACACGGCGAGTTGAGTTGATGCCAAAGAGCTCCATTTTGGTCTCATCTGACCACAACACTTTCACCCAGTTGTCCTCTGAATCATTCAGATGTTCATTGGCAAACTTCAGACGGGCATGTATATGTGCTTTCTTGAGCAGGGGGACCTTGCGGGCGCTGCAGGATTTCAGTCCTTCACGTCGTAGTGTATTACCAATTGTTTTCTTGGTGACTATGGTCCCAGCTGCCTTGAGATCATTGACCAGATCCTCCCATGTAGTTGTGGGCTGATTCCTCACCGTTCTCATGATCATTGCAACTCCACGAGGTGAGATCTTGCATGGAGCCCCAGGCCGAGGGAGATTGACAGTTATTTTGTGTTTCTCCCATTTGCGAATAGTCGCACCAACTGTTGTTACCTTCTCACCAAGCTGCTTGGCAATGGTCTTGTAGCCCATTTCAGCCTTGTGTAGGTCTACAATCTTGTCCCTGACATCCTTGGAGAGCTCTTTGGTCTTGGCCATGGTGGAGAGTTTGGAATCTGATTGATTGATTGCTTCTGTGGACAGGTGTATTTTATACAGGTAACAAGCTGAGATTAGGAGCACTCCCTTTAAGAGTGTGCTCCTAATCTCAGCTCGTTACCTGTATAAAAGACACCTGGGAGCCAGAATCTTTCTGATTGAGAGGGGGTCAAATACTTATTTCCCTCATTAAAATGCAAATCAATTTATAACATTTTTGACTTGCGTTTTTCTGGATTTTGTTGTTGTTATTCAGTCTCTCACTGTTCAAATAAACCTACCATTGAAATTATAGACCGATCATTTATTTGTCAGTGGGCAAACGTACAAAATCAGCAGGGGATCAAATACTTTTTTCCCTCACTGTAGCTCCAGTGGCTTCCTAATATCGGAAGGAAGAGCGTTCCAGACGGCCGCAGAGGCGCATCTGAAAGCCCGCGATGCGGTCACCGCCTTTGTTCGACGTTTAGCCAAAAGCCGCCGCTGCGAGGATAACCGAAGTTTGCGTGATGGTGGTTTCTGCTCCTTGATAAGAGTAAGTGTGCAACCAGACATCTATCAAATGTTAAAAACACATCACGGAAAAAAGACGCACGTACTCTAGCCGTGTTTCACAAAATATGTACACTTTGAATCCCATAAAAGATTTAGTTGCATTTAAGTCCACCGAATGCACAGCACTTTCTGACATTGCGGGAGCATTGTGAACATCTTCCCACGCATCAGCACGTGCGGCCGAGCACGTCCTTTAACTCGAGTTGTCTACAAGAGCGCACACGTCCGTGACTCGATCAAAGTTGTCATCAGCCACGCTCCATCCACTGCCGGACGAAGGCCTCCCTCCCCAACTCGTTGCCAACCACCTGCGATATCGCGATCCACCTCACTCTGCACATTTACCGATGTCATCACTCCGTCTCCACAGTGGTGGTCAGCTGTTGTGGTTCTGTCCTCGCCTTTGGCTGCTATTCTGTCGCCAATATTGGCCATCGTGCACGAATGTAACTGATTGAAAACTCAGTCCCCCGCACCTCCAATTAGCATGGTTGGCTATGTACGGTGCGAAAGACGTTCAACGTACAGTACATGCATGGATACATACATGCCTTTGTCGCTCGACTGCTGAACGAACACCTTCTCATGCTGTGGGGTTCTTGGGGTTTACTGACCATACTTCACTGCGCTGGTCAGTGCAGGTTGGGTAGCCGTGGCCAGGTACAATTATTAGCGTGAAGCACTGCGTTCTACCCCTCAGTGCCTTGATAAATATGCATGGAAATGTCATTGCTTAGTTGAGATATATATTCTCTAATCTGCTAAATTGGTCCAGTACATTTAATAAGCCAATGTCCTTGTCCACCATTGCCTGGTATTAATTGCAAAACTATATCGATGCAAATCAAAATAACTCACCTAATGGAAATTAATCAGCGATATATATGCACATATTAACAGGGAGATGCTTTGTATGAGCCCTATGTAATGCTACTAGTCGGGTTATTTATAACTAATTTGGTGCCGTACGATACACACGGTGACTCTGTAATTCCTTCTAAGCAGTCCTAAACCTCTTTACCCCCTTAGTTAAGACTTGATGAAAATAAAAATCCCATGCGCACAGCAGAATTCCATTACACTTGAGTGTGAAGAAGAACGTGCCCTAAATGATTTATATTGAACCATATTTCAATTAGGATAATTGTGTACAGTATACTGCTCAGATTTTCCATCATTATTCCACAGGAGTAGTTTCAGAAGCCGCCTGGCGCATATATTATCGTTACATCACGTGCTTCGTGCGTGCACATCATCGTTACGTTATTAATTACACAACAATAAATGAAAAAAAGAACACGAGCTTGGACGGGGCTGCCCTGGACATGGAACGTATTTGGTGTCGTGGATGAACATGCGGAGCAAGAAGTCACGGGAGTTTGGAGAATCGACGACAACTGAAGCAACAGAATAGGGCGGTGATAGAACTGTCTGCAATTAAGCCGCAATTATAATAATAATAACAGCTCTAATGTAGCCTAACCGTGGAATGGATGAAAAACACTGTGGCATGACTAAACCTGCATTTCGCTTTCACCGGTGGTATTTTTGTCCTTTGTCCTCCTGAGCCAATTAACCTCACAGCGCCCCGCATTCATCTGTGCCTTGTCTTGCAGAGCCGTACAGTGCCGCCGTTTGGGTGATGATGTTTGTCCTCTGTTTATCCGTGGTGGCCATCGCTGTGTTCGTATTCGAGTACATCAGCCCCAAGGGCTACAACCGCAACCTGGCCACCGGATCAGGTACGCGACGTGTGGTTGGACTCTCTATCGCTTTATTTTGTCTGCTCCGACTGCTTCGAACATTTCCAAGTGTAAACTTTAAATGCACTTTGATGTCACGAAAGCATTGCCCGGGCAATGGCAGGGCAGTGAATAAAGACACACGTCCCCGCACGTTGTTGCTCTCCCCGTGTTCGCAGGAGTTGAGTCACGTTGCGTGCCGGCAGTGGCGGCTCTTCTCCAGATGGCCGCTGGGGTCACGCAATCAAAATAAAGAATACAAAAAACCCTTGACGGGAACTCACCTGCACATTCGTAATTTTTTATGCTAATTCCTTTGTCAAGGCACCTTGTTTCCTCGCACACAGCTTAAAGGTCGCGGTCTGAGCGTGGCTGTGTTTCACTCCAGCGCTGTCCTCGAGACAACCTGATCCCTTCACCTGATGAAGGCCGCTTGTGTTGTGGCCGAAACGTCGTGATTTTTGTTGTTTTATATTTGTTTTACCTACGTGACTTTACCGAATAGAACCAAAGAGTATCACCTGCAGATTATTTTACAGATTACTTGGTGACGCTGCTTTGGCAGTGGTGCACAAGCGCAATTAACAACAAAAAAACTCAACACATTCGTGAATAACATTGCCTTGAAAGAAATACTATATATAAAAGAGGCAAAGTTGTCAATGTGTGTCTGTTTAAAATGTTTGGCGTACTTCCCGACATGCAACAAACTTTAAATTTGCCATGTGGGTAGTTTCCAGACTGTACACCATGCAAAAATGTGACCCGCGAATGTGGAAGCGTAACGCATTGTAGTGTAGCGGTTAGCGCACCACGCTACGAACCCAGCGACCCGAGTTCGATTCCCGCTCACGACCACCACCGGTGACGATTATTTCAACCGCTCCTGGGCCTCCCCTAGGTCGACTCAGCCTCAAACGAGTAACTGCTGTGGTGTGTGAACATCGCCGCTGGGGAGACAAAGGCGGCCGCGCGTGGTAGATCCAAGTCCCGGGCGAAGCCGGGTAGTACAGCTAGTACTATATATAAATAGGTGACGTTTCAGGCAATGGCCCTTCATAGCAAATACATAAAGAGGCCAGATTTAAATGGATAATCAGAGTTGACGACTGAACTTGTTTACACCATGGGGCTTGATGAGAACTACATTTCTTTAAAAATATCTGATGACCAGTTTTTGTCAATGGCCCTTTTTCATAGCTCATAATAAACATTATAAACTATACTAACCTCCACCCCCACCTCACCCTGCGGGCCTCCATGCCGGACCGGACCTTCTCTGAAAAAAGAGCTTCACGGCTCGTCGGATTCCTCCAGTCTAAATAAAGACCAAGATTCCGATTGTGATATATTTACCAGCCGGCCGCCGCTGAGCGTGACTCTGCCGCGGAGCAGCGGGATTCGGATCCACGCTCGGCACACAGCAGTGGGCACAGCAGTGGGTACATTAAAGTGGGCACAGCAGTGGGTACAGCAGTGGGCACAGCAGTGGGTACATTAAAGTGGGCACAGCAGTGGGCACATTGAAGTGGGCACAGCAGTGGGCACATTGAAGTGGGCACAGCAGTGAGCACATTGAAGTGGGCACAGCAGTGGGCACAGCAGTGGGTACAGCAGTGGGTACATTAAAGTGGGCACAGCAGTGGGTACATTGAAGTGGGCACAGCAGTGAGCACATTGAAGTGGGCACAGCAGTGGGCACATTGAAGTGGGCACAGCAGTGGGCACATTGAAGTGGGCACAGCAGTGGGCACAGCAGTGGGTACATTAAAGTGGGCACAGCAGTGGGTACATTGAAGTGGGCACAGCAGTGGGTACATTGAAGTGGGCACAGCAGTGGGTACATTAAAGTGGGCACAGCAGTGGGCACAGCAGTGGGCACAGCAGTGGGCACAGCAGTGGGCACACGAGAGACTTTGCTTCCCCGATTAAATTCGCGCTTCCTACCGCCGGGTCGGTTCGATTTCCCGAGCCGAGCTTCGCTTGCTATCTGCGGCGTGACTTCGAGAGGTTTGCGCCAGTTACGTGCAAAGTTACATTCCTCTCTTCTTGTTCCACCTCCGGTTAAAGCCAAGCAGCAGCTGTAATGATCATTGGATTTACAGCACGCTTCCTCCGGCTAAAGTTGTGAGCAGATTTTCGCCTGCCACTCGATACATTCTGGTGGACGGCTTAACGGCCGGTTCTTTTTTCCTCCCCGTGCTATGCAAATGACTTACTGTGCATTTGGCAGATTCAGACATTGTGCCTGGAGGGAAAGTATAATTTTCTCTGATCCTTTCTTTAATTTGGCCATTGGGGGTGGGCGTAGGGGTGCTGTGCGTGACTCAGGCTGGCCTTGAGCTGACTTGGCTGACCTGGCTGGCTGGAGCTGACTTCCTAAGCTCTCTCCTTGTGCTGTGTTCCTGGCAAGAGCAGTAATTAATCCGTCCGCGTGTGCTCTTCTTGTAATATCACGGTAGAAGGGGGTGCACTGCCGTGGTGTAAATGGGTCAGCACGCTGCACTCGCGATTCAGACGGCACCAGTTCGATGCTATCTTCCGGCGGGGGCAGTTGAAACGATTCACGCGGCCACGTTTCCACCGAGCAGGATCTGTGAGAACGCCGCGGTCAGTCGATCGGCAGGTCGCGTGTGCTGGGGTCAAGTGTGAGCACGCCCATATTTTCCAACACGTCTGGTCAGCATGGAAGAGTAGACCTCGTACTCTCTGTAGATTTCGCCATTGTGGAGGCCCTTCTGCCAACAGTGACGCGAGCAGGCAATTTTGCCGAGCTGTACCATTACATCTCATTACGAGGGTATTTGTGTGAAGAGGAACACACGAACACATGGGTCCAGACAATATGCACATCTGGTAGCACTGCTGCCAAGTGCTCAACTCACAACCACATGGTCGTCAGTACACAAACTGGCCCCTGTCGATCGGTGGGCTGCGTGTAGTGGGGCAAAGCGTGGGTACTGCCACTTCTTCCCCTACGCCTGGCCAGTAGCAGAAGGGCGTTAGAGCAGTTCAGAACTTCTTGCTTGCACCGTGTGTGGCAAACGACGGCTTAATTAGGCTCTGCTGTAAGCACTTACGGAGGCAAAACGGCCGGCCCACAAGCCGATTAATGGAGCCTCTAGGCCGTTAATAAACGCTGGTGTGCATGTGAGGCATGGTCGAATAATTGCAAGTACGATGAATCAAAAGTAGGCACGGAGACAAGGGTGATTATTTTACTTCTCAATACGGTGACGAGTAACATGCTGGCGCACTAATTATCGCCCGCTATGTCATTGTGCGATGGCGATCAGGGTTTCAAGGTAATTCACTCCGAGCCACCTCATTAAGAAACTTTGCAATGTAAGAAATATATACATGGAACTCACGTGGTACACGCAAGGATCATCGAGCAATGATTCTTCAACTACCAAAATCCTGTCCCTGAATTTGTAGGAGATTGTATTCTAGATACTTTTATCCCAAATTGTATCGAGGTTGCACCACTGACATCGTATTATGAGATGGAGGCATCCATTCAGCATTCCCGCAGAGCAGTCAGAGCATCACCCTGTGTGAGAGACACCTCATTTAGGATGATGAGCATTTTCTTGTGTAACCAGGTAGAGGCCCACTGAGCTATACAGCTCTTTTCAGAAGTGACCTGGCCACGAACGATAGCTCAGTGAAGTGGCTTGTCATCACGTGGACATTATTTATAGCAGGCAAAGACTCTAAACGCGTGGTGATCTTGATTCTAAATGTGGAGGGGAGCACCGGAGGACCCCAAGAAAAATCTACGCGACAACGTGGAGAGAGACACGCAAACTCTAAATTTAAAGCAGGCGTCAGGGTTCGGGATCGAACCTACATACCAGGAGAGGTAGTTAACATCTCCCCACCGTGGCAGGTTTTGTGCAATCATTGGTGACGAGACTGAGACGATCAACTTTCAAGTGTAATGAGTTGAGACCATCAAATGCACTTTAACCATGGGTGGTTGCCCTGTTTCGAATCCAGATTCTCAGTGGTGCTACCTCAGTATGCTGACCTCTTGAGCCGCGGCAATCATTTCGTGATTGACATTATTACTCTGATTTTTCATATGAAAAGTAAGCTCAGCAAGTGGGGGTTGCTGAGATACACTGGTTCTGTACCTTGCGACGACAGTCCACAGCCCTCGCGTGCTGAAAAACAGCCCATCACGAGCGGTGCAATTCACAAGTAACACGCCGTGAGGAATTTATAACGGGAAGAAAAAACACCTCTTAAGAATATATCTGCAGTGTTCATACCCCCTTCCCGAACGATCTCTTTCCTAAGCAAATTACTTTCTTCATTCGTGTTGGTTTTTATCAAACCCAGGGCGCTCTGGCCAATGTCCTGCGTCGCCTCGGCCCTCGTGAATTTCCCCGACTCACCGATCGCCTTCAGTCACCTCCTGAGCCAGCCGTACGTTACGGCAAGCTGAAGGATTTTACCCTGTCTCATGTTAATGTGTTTTCAACCAGGTCCACTGCCTTTTCCTGAGTAATATATATTATTTAAAAGCGATTAAACAGTTTCAGATAAGTAATATTGGTCAAAAGACGTTTTCCCACACGATTACGCTTATTACATCTATCACATTTCTTGACTTTCTTAAGAAAAACGTGTGACGCATTAATACATTATTTGTTCCATTAAGCACAGCAGGACCGCATAAACTCAATACGAGAAGTCAAATGCAGCCTCAAAACTCGCGCGGCTTTTTTTCATCCTGAAAAATATTCAAAGTCATTTTTACTCTCACATTTTTTTTAAAACAAGTTATGGAGTACTTTTCCTCCTTTTGAGCGCTGCACTTTGGAACGATACTCCATAAAGCAGTGCTCACACAGGAGGCCAGCGCTCACAAAATTTCCATTTCTTTCTAGCTTTGACGACAACATAAATTGCAGAATCGTAGATGGATAACTGACTGATTTTTCATAACGTGCTGATTGATGTACAAGTGTTTAGGGGTGGTACATACAATACTCAACGACTACGCTTTCCTTTTCCTCAACTTCACTGTAATCCCCGTGGTTTGCCTCCCTACACATTACCAAAAATCGCCATTTAAAGCAGCGTTACATATTTCACCTAACGCTACAGCCATAAATATACACGAACGTCGATTCTCCTTCTACAATAGAACGCTCATCAATAGCGATCCACACAATTTATGGACATGAGTAAATATTGACGAAGGTATCTGAAGAGTCCATCTCAAAAGGGCCCGGTGTTAAGCAACAGGCACTGTGCGCGGTTTTTTATTGCTATAAAATCCCTCGTATCCTTTGCTACATTTGGTAGGTACGTTACCCACACAAGTAATCATTGCATTGGCCGGTAAAGAAAGAGTCACACGCAATCCACGGGAAAGAGGTTTGATTCACAGCTAAGGTAGTTGAAACGGAAGAGTAAGCAACCTCATCGACCCTTGCCTCTCTCCACATTTCAGTGACACGGGAGGCCTTACATAAATAAATAATTCGATTGGTAGAGGACAGGTAAAGGTGCAGCCCTGCAATAGCCTGCTCACAGCACTGCTGGCAGAAGAGCCTCTACCAGAGGGACCTTTAGAGGGTACGTGGCCTACTCTTCCACGCTGATCAGATGTCTTGGAAGAGGTGGGGGCACCCACATCTCTACCCCACCACACGCAACCTGCTGCGAGTCTCACGTTGCCGAAACGAGGGTGGGGACATCTAAGAAACTGGCACCGTTGGTTCAACTGCCGCCCTAGGAGATCAAATCGAACCAAGTGACCTCTGGATTGCAAGTCCAGCGTGATGACCGTTACACCACGGAAGCAATCCAAATTATGGGTACGCCCAACCGATGGAATGCATTGCAGTGAACAAGGCATCCAGGGTTAGCGAGCACGTGAGCGCTGTGTACGGCGCAGCTTTGTCTACGTCGTACAACCATTGAGCCGGCACGGATTGTACCAATTATTTTGACCCTCACTCTCAGATATCACTCGTCACTGCCATCAGCCTTGGTCGGGAATCGAATGAAGGTCGCCTGGCTTGTAGCGTGGGGTGCTAACCACTGGCCCACCGCTCAACTCCCTCGCACAATAAACGAAGCCTTAAATTGCATCAATGGCAGTTTTTTAATTGAAAAAGCATCGCTGCAGTGACTCATATTCGCGCTATTATTGCTTGTGTCTATCTTTTTCCACAGGGAAAGACTGCTACCGTCAATTGTGCCTCAATGTTTTCGAGTCTGTATATCGATTGGCTCATTAACAGCAAGGCCCACTGCTATGCATACATATCCTCAGGGTAGATTATATTAACTCTTTGTAACTTCATGGCAAATACAATCTCTGGCACTATTAGCTTTAAAAAAAAATATCCACTTTAATCACTATCTGCGTAAAGTTATTTGCAAACAGTGGATGGCGGGATGCTGCCCACGGCGTAACGGTTTATCGGCGCGCTGGACTTTGTGATGCAGAGCTCACTGGTTTCCATTCGTTCTCCCGGCGCGGCAGGTGAAACACAACGGCAAAAGCCTCCTCAACAGCAATGCCTCTGTCCAGCCAGCAGAAGCAACGGCTGCGCCACAATCGTGGTCCATTGCCAAGTGGCACGTGGCGGTCTTTACTACAGAGGCACTCTCGAGCTCTTATAGAAGAGGCCCTTCATCCAGCATTGGCATGAGCAGGAAATTGCAGGGCTGCACCTCTAAATATTTTTTGTACCTTTCATAGACAGGGTTAGCTGGTAAAAATAAAAAAGCATGATCTTGTATTCACTGCATGAATGAACTTAAACTGACACTGAGAGCTGGATTCACGGACTGGTGAAGAATGTTCCTTTCACCGACTCTTCTGCCATTTAAGCCGTATTGTAAGAAAAACGTGAATCTGGTCCACGGTCATAAATAATGAGAGAGAAAGAGCTCTCAGTTAACGACGACTGCTTTGAAGTTGCCATACGTAAAGTGGCTGCCAAACAACCATTGCAATGTTGCATTCTCGCCGTGTGCTCTTTGTTTTCGTAGCGCCTGACGGACCGACTTTCACGATCGGAAAATGCATCTGGTTGCTGTGGGCTCTGGTCTTCAACAATTCGGTGCCGGTCGAAAACCCACGGGGAACCTCGAGCAAAATCATGGTGCTCGTCTGGGCCTTCTTTGCCGTGATCTTTCTGGCGAGCTACACAGCCAACCTGGCTGCCTTCATGATCCAGGAGGAGTACATTGACCAGGTGTCTGGCCTGAGCGACAAGAAGGTGACATCACTCTCCAGCAGGCCGCTCGCTGAGCGAGGGGCTCCGCACACACTGACACCCAGGCAACAATGCAACACACAGACCCAACACAAAGACACAACACATAGACACAACACACAGACACAACACGCAGACACAACACATATACACAACACATATACACAACACACAGACACACCACATAGACACAACACATATACACAACACATAGACACAACACATAGACACAACACGCAGACACAACACATAGACACAACACAGACACAACACATATACACAACACATATACACAACACACAGACACACCACATAGACACAACACACAGACACAACACACAGACACAACACACAGACACAACACATAAACAACACACAGACACAACACATAGACACAACACACAGACCCAACACATAGACACAACACATAGACACAACACACAGACACAACACAGCACATGAACTCCACTCATTGATTCCTACACCCATGTTGAGGACTTGGCTTACCAGACTCACTGTGCCATCTAATCCACACTCTGTTCCACCACCATCACCGCTACCACCACCACCACTGCCACCACCACCACCACACTGCGGGCCACACCACCTCTCCTTCTGCTTCTCTTCTCGCTCTGCCCGACCTTATAATTCTGTCAGATCGTCACGTATAACCTTGCTCAATTCAATAAACGTATTAACTCTTATCTGTTAGACTTTCAAGAGTGCTGTGTGTCACTGTTGCGAATGAGACGATCACAGTGTCTTGAGTTTTCACCCCGATTCCACAAAAATAAACGCGAAATTTGAAACGTTCTGGTTGCTTAGCCGTTGGGCGTACGTTCAGCAACGGTGATAAAAATTATTGATAAAAATAATAATGACAGATGTGGGATGTCGTACGCATACCACCTCTTTCACATGTAACACTGACAATGCAATGAAGAGCAAAATTCAAACTTGTGCTAAAGATTAACCGAAAGGCGTCTGTGCCAGCGCGAAATGTATCGGCAACAAAAGCGTCCGTCGGCAGGGTGTGAATAATAAAAGCCAGTAGCATGTCAATGTTGTCAGATGTTTCGTAGCGGAAACGTCGACGGGTTTCAACACGAACGCCGCGCTTTGACACATCACTGAGAACAATCGTGTGCTAACTGAAGAACTCTTTCAATGTACATTTTTTATCCATGTTTTATTTTAATTGCAAATGCACATAACTTGTCACCTGCAAATGGTCTGCCAGTGTCGTTGAAGAAATTACACGTATGGAGAAAATGCAAATGCGTATATTCTCTGGGACGAATGTTGAATTAAATGATCCCTCCGACGTGTCACCGGCGCGTACGCCGCCGCTGATCGGCGTGACGTCTGGCGCTTTGCTGGGTGAGCCAGGAGCCCTTTCAGGAAGCGAAACGTCTGACATCGTGCAGAACTGAGCACGATACAACCCGAAAACAGACGGAGGATGCGCACAGCGCTACAACCGTGGAAACATCCGGAATATTGTTGTGTTAATTCGTTGAACATAACACCATCAGTCGTTTTGCTAATTGCAACAACAAAAAACCTAATTACCACACCAACACATTACTAATGTTACGATTGTGTGTTGCTTGTTTGTGTATTATGAATTGTGGATCTGTGCGTGTGCTCTATTCATGTAGCTGTGTCTTTGTTGTTTCTTGTTGGGTGTGGGATTAGTTCCAGAAGCCCAATGAGCAAAACACACCGCTTCGCTTTGGCACCGTTCCCAATGGAAGCACCGAGAGGAATATTCGGAACAATTATCCAGAAATGCACAACTACATGTCCCGCTACAACCAAAAATCAGTGGAGGATGCACTTGAGAGTCTCAAGAAAGGGTAAGGCATAATCTGGGTTCTCTAATCCCTTATTCAATTAGAAAGGGGGGATTTAGCCAAATAACATAATTTTTTTCACCTTAACTCAGTGTTTTTTAGTTGTTAATTTAATTCATTCGCGGCTCGCTTTTTTCTTTAAAGAAATCCATATGCTTGCTGAAAACTATTGAATTCACTCAAGAGGCAGGCTTATTCACGACGCGTTGCTTTAGAATCTAATTGGAATCAAGCTGTTTTTTTTGTACGAGCCGATTATATATATAAAAAAACGTTCTGCCCATTTGCTATCGTTGCCCTGCACCCAGTGTCCACGTGCAAAGAGGGTGAACGGTGAACGCGCAGCGGCAAGGCGCCACGCAGTCACCGTGGCTGCTGCTGCTCCATGGGCCTTTGACGAGGCAGAATGCAGAGCAAATGCAGCCAGCACTCCCACAGTTATAATCGCCATGGCCACCCAACTTAAATAACACAGATGAGTCAGACTAATTATGCATATTGTAATTGTTCCTGCTGCAGCAGATATTTAGAGGTTAGTTAATTTGTAGCAGTAATTAAATTATTTCCTGTGTCCCAATATATACTATCACGCTGTTGACATTTTGGCCAGCTTTTTTACACGATTCCTTTAAATGTCAATACTTCCTTGGAGGGCCATCTTTAGTTAACTGTGCAATCTCAATTCTCCCCTCTGCGGTAATAATTTAATGAAATATTTTTTGTATTTCTGATTCCAAATGGATAAAAAAACCTCCAAGATATCTCACTGCTCAAATGCCTCGTTCAAGTGTCGGCCCCCCAGTTCACGATTTGAGCTCGCACCGCTCAGCTGCTCGCTTGCGAGACGCTTTGACTTTGGCAAGGAGAAAGGAGACATTCAATGGAGCCTCCTCGCAAGAGGACGCTGTCTCACCCAGGCCTGAGCTTAGCCTGAGGGCCCACACGCACATTTGAAACGGAGGTTTTAGAATAGAATAGTTTTAGAATAGAGTCGAGGGAGACCGAAAAACACTGCACTGGATAATGAAAATAATCAGATATTTATAACGTCAAAACAATGCATAGGACTAAGATTAATAGCAAACAGTTTTAAATGTGGCATCTTTCGTGGAATCCTATGAATGCATTATATCAGTCATGGCAAAAATAAGCCGATATTATCTTGCCAAAATATCAATTGTTTTTTCTGTTAATTACATCGATAGTAACTTCAAGATAGTAATATTGTTTCATTAAACAGTGACCCATCTGCAGTAATTGTTCTAATTAGTGCAATGCTTTCAAGGAATTGTCCTTTCCTATTACTTGTAGTTGCTGGTAGCTTGAGCGCTCTCTGAATTAAGATTATTTTGGATGGTCGATTATCACACTGGGTGCTGTATTGGCTAATGCACCAGACTTGCAATCCAACAGTTGGGCAGAATACTTAAAACTTAATAAATGGGTACGCCAGTAAAGTAGATCGACAGGTCGCGTGCCGTGGTGGTCAAGTTTCGGTACTCCCACCTTTCCCTAGACATCTGTCCAGCGTGGTGGAAGAATAGACCAAAATACACCCGACAGGGGCAATCTAGAGCTCACTCGAGTGGATACCCTTCTGCCAGCAGTGGCATTAGCCAGAAATTGCAGGACCGCGGCTTTACCTCTTTACCAAAGCGGTATTTACGTGGCAAGTCAGGGCGTGCCCTTTCTTGAATCAATATCGAGTCTTACGCTCAGGGCACATTAATGGGTACTCCCTCTAGTGGAGACCCATCCGCCAGCAGTGGCCAGAGCAAGCAGTTGCAGGACCGCCCCTTCATCTTCATTGTTTCTCAACTCCCATCGCCGATCTCTGTGCGAGTGAGGGATTTCTTTTTCGAGCGGTGTCCTGACGCCGCGATTCTCATCCCCGCCCCCCCCCCCCCCCCCCCGTCTCCTTCACGCGCCCGCGGCTGCGGGCCAGGAAACTGGACGCATTCATCTACGACGCCGCCGTCCTCAACTACATGGCGGGCAAGGACGAGGGCTGCAAGCTGGTGACCATCGGCAGCGGCAAGGTGTTCGCCACCACGGGCTACGGCATCGGGCTGCAGAAGGCGTCCAAGTGGAAGAAGCACATTGACCTGGCCCTGCTTCAGTTCATGGGCGACGGTAACACAAGCGCAGTGCGGCAACGGCACATAGGGTTGCCACCTGGCCCGGTTTTCCCAGGATCGTCCTCTTGTCGAGGTAGATGTCCTGTGGAATCTGTCATTCTTCCCGGGACACTAACAGTCCCGGTTTTTTCCATTTACATAATAATAATACACCACACAAGATGATACATTTGCCTGTAGTTCTTCCCTCTTCCAGTTTTGTGAGATATTCCTCTTCTTCTTCCCATTATATGTCCGTTTTTTTAGAACCTCAGAGGTGGCAACCCTAATGGCTCATGGCACGTGGAAGTATCTCTTTGGATTCTCTCTCAATCAGAATTAGACCAATGTTTCTTATACAATGGAAGCCACGGTCGATTCCAGTAAATGTACAGACACGTTGAAGAAAACGTCATCGCAGATGATGAACTTGCATTGAGATGGATATGCATCCTCCTTCATCTGCAGCAGACCACTGCCAATTCTTGGTTAGCGGCTGAGAAAGGCAGCAAAGTCTTCCTCGGGTTTTCCAGTCTCAGGTGCTCACGCGTTGCAGCTGGATTATCTTAAAATTGGAACACAGAAGCAACGCGTGGTGCTTGCGGCAGTGGTGACGATGATGCTCCTACTGCTGCACTGGTGCTGGGCTACCAGAGCACCAGATGGGCTGTGAGTGCTCGTCTGGTGGAGACAGCGCTGAGGGCAAAGCCACTGCCAGCACATTCCAGTTTCTCTCAGTGGGCCTCTATGCGAGTCTATGATGCTCTTTGCGAGTTAGTGGGTCTCTATGGGAGGCTATCAGTCTGTGCACGTTAGTGGATCTCTATTCAAGTCTATGATTTTCCGTGCGAGTTAGTGGGTATCTATGCAAGACTCTCGTTCTCTGTGCAAGTTAGTGGGTCTCTATGCGAGTCTATGATGCTCTGTGCGAGTTAGTTGGTCTCTATGCGAGTCTATGATGCTCTGTGCGAGTTAGTGGGTCTCTATGGGAGGCTTTGAGTCTGTGCAAATTAGTGGATCTCTATGCAAGTCTATCATTTTCTGTGCAAGTGAGTGCCATGGGTCTCGCTGATGATAAGAGCACTGGTGACGAAGCCACGACCAGCGCAGTCTAGTTTCTCAATGAATCCTCCTGTACACTTTATCACCTGAAACTAGAAAACCCAAAGCGAATTTGCTGCCTCCTCAACCTGGCAGAGATGTTGCAAATGAATCAACAAGGAAATTAATTATGAGCATTTGAACTACTCACGAAGTCCATCTCTATGCGAGTCACCCAAAGGCAGCAGCACCTGTTCGCAGGAAGACCTACAATGGTAGCACACGTGTGATAGACAAGGGGGTTAGCAGTGCTGTAGCGGTTACTGCTCTGCACCATGAACCCGAGTTTTATTCCTGGCGCACAGCCAGCATCATTGGCGAGTGATATCTGAGCCGGCCCTGGGCCGCCATATCCCCGCACCTTCACCAACCAACGTCGACTCGTGTGGTGAAGTATAGTCAAACAAGTTCTTCATCATTGGCCACACATTGACATAAGAGCTTTAAATTATTCTGTTATGTGTGTGTAGTTACGGAGTACACCGCTAACACTGCAGGAGCTCTATGACTGTCACTCACGTGTGCGATGAACAACTGGAAAATTAATTAGGGATAATTAATGCGCAGTCTCACAGCACGGTTCCAACCCTTGGAACAGACCCACAAGTGGCCCTCGTGCTGCGGAGTTCACGCGGCTCTTTCTTCGTGGGTGCGCATGCTCTTGCAATCAATTAGGTATTCATCACGCGTTACATTCGTTAACACCACGAGGGTGGGTCCTTTATTAATGCTGCCTTTGATAAGGCCGGGGGTGTCGTGAATCATACTGCGTGTGCCAAGGGTTGTCCTGCGGACAATATAACGTTTAACCCCATTGTTAACTTCTTGAACTCAAGAGATATTTCAGATGTTAATGATATAGATGCAAACAAAATACATAAAGATGACGTAAGAGCAGCCATCGCTGTGAACAATTTTTATAAAAAAAATCCAAATATATACAAAATGCCTGTGGTTTAGTCCGTTTTTACACGAAATATGCACAGAAATTGCCCTTCCACCAGTGCCTAAATCCGGCTGAATGTGCTTAATCGTAGGTTGTACAGAGCTCGTAATCAATACCAAAGTTCTGAAGTTCAGTGACTGACTGACAAGCTGACTCATTATTGGAAAAATTTAATTTCTTGTAACATTGATGGTCCGAGAGTGCGCCTGCCGGAGGAAGACGAGCGACGGAATTCACTCATGTGTAGGCGCTAAGTGGATTATTACATCGCGGGGATCTTGGTGGCGGCTTGGGAAGGGGCCTTCATCCAGCAGTGGATTGATCATGCCTGACGACGATGACGATGATTATGAACGTGACGTTAACGGTAACGGTGATGAAACGGACCGATGGGCTCCATGCACGTTTGCGCTTTGCTCCGGGTCGCGCAGACGAAATTGACGAGCTGGAGAACATCTGGCTGGCCGGTATCTGCAAGAAGGAGAAGAACGAGGTGATGAGCAGCAAGCTGGACGTGGACAACATGGCGGGCGTCTTCTACATGCTGGTGGTGGCCGTGGGCCTCAGCCTGCTGGTGTTTGGGGCCGAGCATCTGTTCCACCGCCGCTTTGGCCGCTCAAAGGCGCGAGCTTCCTTCGAGACGCCACGCTTCCTGCTGGCCATCAGCCGGGTAAGGGGCACGACTTTTTAAACACCTTCTCCTCGGCTGACTGGGCACGAGCGTTCCGAGCGTGGCAGAATCCGCGTCGGCGAGGGTGACCGGTGCGCTAGCTTCCTCCTTACGCGACGTCGTTGTCCGTGCCCGCCAAGCGAAACGTTTACCCTGACTCGGACAATGTACTCGGGGTGCTGCGGCGGTGAAGGCAGATGACCTCCCTTGCTCGAGCGAGCCATGGGACGCCACTCATCTCCATAGGCGGCCCCAAGGTTCGTGTGGGGAATGTTAATTCCCGTGGTGTCGACCGATCTCTCTCGGCAGGAAAGCCACTATGGTGTAGAAGCGTTGCCAGCTGATTTGGATGTCAGACAGCTGAGCTCGTACCACTGAGATCCTGGCTCAAAAATCCAGGGAACCAACTGTTATTCAATCTGGTTCTTAAGTGTGGCGAGTTGGTTGTCTCGTCGCAGTCACCAAAGGCTGCGCAAAAATAAGCCTTGCATTAAATTGTTTTTGCACTTATTATTGGCTAAATACCAGCTCTTAGAATTAAAATATCGATTGTATTGTTACGTGACGAAGATTACTCTCTGTGGCTGGGTGGGAAAGTGCTGCGTGTGGACCAGAGGAGACTTGAAGGATCTCAGAGGTAGCTTTGTGATGTCCACTCTGGTGGAGCGCTCTCCCGCAACATGGGCTGCACTGGTACATATTTGTTTTGTGGGCATGATGCCAACAGCACCAGCCCAGATAATAATTAGGGATACAAATGATAAGAATAATAACATCTTTAAATAAGATGGCATCTATTTGGACTGCAGCATGGGAAATATCCACGAAGAGAGGCCTTCCATTGCATTGTCCGTGTTCCCATGTTGCTGTGTTCCCATGATGCTGTGGGCATGTCAACATGCCTAACCTTTGCATGTATAATTTCACAACGTTCATGCAGCAACTGCAGCACCTAAGCCACTGAATTTTAAATGCTGGCAGGTTGCTACTATGCATTTAAAGTGCCTGTTTTAGCACACGTGACTTCTGTATCATTTGGGTGTTTGATGCGATGAGTGATATAGTATATATATAATTACAAGCCTGTCATTGGTCAAACCAACACTTTTTTTCTGACTCTGGTCCAAAGACTGTTGAGGCAAATTCTGTTAGTGAACACCTATGAAGGCTGGCACAACACACACCGGCCGCCTTTGTCTTCCCATTGCTGATGTTTACACATTGCACCAAGTACTCATTTAAGGCTCGGCCGATCCAGGGAAGGCCCTGGACCGGTTCAGATATTCGTAACTGTTGTTGGTCGTGAGCGGGAATCAAACTCGAGTTGCGGGGTTCAGAGCGCAGCATGCTAACAGCCACGCGACTGCTTTATACTGCTCCCCACGCACTCCCCGACAACAGCAAGCCGTCATTCATCATTAAGTGGCGGTGACATCACCACGGCGCTCGTGCCAGGCTAGGTGCACTCCTAGGCCACGTAAAGTGTCGAAAGCTCGCTGACAGGTCACGGAACAGACCCAGACGCCAAGGGTCGGCTGACGGAGATGACTGGGAGATGCACGAGCTAGTGTACACACTCCCCACGCACACACACATACACACACACAGACACACACACGTGCACACACACGCACAGACACACACACACACGCACACACACATACACGCACACAACAACAACCGCCATTCGCCACTAAGTGGCGGTGACGTCACCACGACGCTTGTGCAAGGCCATGTGCACCTTGAGGCCACGTGAAGTGTCGAACGCCCGCGGGCAGGAGGTCATGGGGCAGACCCAGGTGCCACAGGTCGACTGACTGAGATGACTGGCTGGTGCACCACCTGTGCCCCCTACTGTGCCAACCTGCTGTGCTTTAGCCACCCGGCGCTCCGCTCGTTGTTGTGAGCGTCGCTCCTCCGCCCTCCGTTGTTGTTGGAGGGCGACTGCCTCCAACTGCCCAATAGCGTCCTTCACGAGCCTCCTCCACAGAGGCCGATCTTGACACCGCTGGTACCAGTCATCGGCAAGTCCACTCAGCTCCACGTCCTCCTGTACCAAATCACTCCATCTTTTCTCTCGCCCGTGCCGCGTCCGTTTAGCCCCCTCGATCCGGCCGAACAAAAGCTGTTTCGGCATGCGGTGGCTGGGCATGCGGGCTACATGACCCAGCCAACGCAGCCTTGCCTGCCGGAGGAGCTCACCGATGGGACCTTGCCCAGATCTTTCAAGGATTTGTGAGCTCTTCACACAATCCAGCCTGGTTAAACCCAGGATGGATCGTAAGCAGGCCAGCCAAAATGTTTACAACCGGCGAAGATGCTCCATTAAGGGGGTCCACGTTTCGCAAGCGTAAAGAAGGGAGGGAATGACCGTGGCCGAGAAGACCTGAAGCTTAGTGCGGAGCGACAGACCAGGTAGCTTCCACACAGCGTTACGCAACCGATTAAAAGATATTGCCGCTCGACTGATTCGGAGTGAGACCTCTGCTATTAAACTGGAGCCGGCCATAAGCACACTGCCCAGGTATGGGAAACTCTCCACTCTCTCCACAACTGCCCCATCACCGATTGGGAGTTGTGGTTGTGGAGTGTCCGATGGTTCAAAATACCCAGGCAGGTGCTTAGTTTTGGTGGGGCTGATGGTAAGGCCCCATCTCTTAGTAGCATGCTCCAGTCTCAGCAGCAGCGTCTCCAACTCCTCCTCTGAATGAGCAGCTATTACTCGCACACACACACACACAAGTGCTCGGACAGTCACAGCTGTGTGTGTCTGTGGTGGGGCGTTGGCAGTTTATCGCCAGTATTCGATATTAGGAAGCCACTATAGCTATATAGTTTTAAATGTGGATTGAAAACTCATTTCTTCATAACTGCTTTTTGTGTCCAGTTTGTTGTCCTTCCCCCGCATCTATGATTAGCACGGTTGGCCACGTACGGTGCGAAAGAAGTTCAGCGTACATTGTTGAACCTCACATCCTCTGCTTGTATTTTCCGATATTGCTTTTGGCTGCGCACGCTCCCGGCGATCGGGTCGCGAGTGCGAGTGGTGTCGCTCCAATTCGAGTTTGTTTGTGGGAAAGGGGGTTGTGATATCGGGTCTATTCAGCATCACAATATCCCAACTCAAAAAAAGCATTGGGACTGCGCTTGCAAAGGTTCTGGGTTTACTCGGCAACACACCGCTGTGCTGAAATAGTAGCAAATTGGCACGTTTTATTTACGTGACAAACCTTACTAATTGGCTGCGTCGGGTTAGTGGCGGGTTTAACGACACTTTTATATATTTACGCGATCTCACCCAAAACCTATATTAAGGACTGTGCTTGTCTCACATTCGAGGCCCCCCAGAGCCAGTGGTGGAAATTCCACATTCCTATGGCGGTTTTCTCCATAAGGTTGAGTTGCCCTCCCTCCCCCCCCCTGCTCGATCGCCAGATGAACTTTGCACCTCATTGTTACCTGGTGACAAGCATGGAACTTCGTGGACGAGCTCTGTGCAGGCACATGTGGAGTTATGAGCAGGATATACAGAAGGTTTTGTTGTTGAGATTATTGAAACTGCATTCCTTGCTTTGCCCATAGGCTATGGCAACAAGAACAAAAGTTACATTTTCAGAAGGCTAGAGAAAGGAGGACAAGAAGCAGCATGAATAGTGTATCACTGTGATGCCTAATGATGTCACTTCTGAAATCGAAGCATCTTCCATCACCTTCAACTGCCATCACCACCTCATAGCCGTGGCAGCTCCAGTCTCGAGGTGGCTGGTAGGTGCATCGGCAGTGCAAACAGAATGCTGGTTCAGCCGCAAATTAACTGCAGCGGGATTGTGTGGGCCTGAGGGTACCATCTAGATTTCGCTCCCAAGAGAAGTGGTTTGAGGCACGTCATGTCCAGCGGTTTCTCTCCAAGGCTCAAGGTGATGAAAGGAAAGGGCACGATGAGGCGGCAGCCTGACTCGGGGGGAGCAATCTTCGGCCGTGTCAGATCCTACTGGGTCAGTGACACTGACAGACCGGCTATGAATCCACGGTTCTATCCCGGGATTAGACCAGGTTCTCATGTGCACCAAGTTGATGGTTTCAGCCTGGTCGCCAAAGGCTGCGCCAAGACACCCACAGTAGAAATGCGTTTTTTATTCGGGCCAGCCCTGGGGGATGAATTTCCGTGGAATAAAGCAGAATGAAGGGCACATAAAGCATCTTCAGGTCATCCTGGTCTATGAGGTTGATGCCGCCACACCTTCCGTCTGCTCGATACCAATGGTGAAAGGTTGGCACTTCACCTTTAAGGCTTATAGCTTATAGCGCCTCCCACCATCAGGGGGTCGAACTGGTGACCTCGCGGTTGACAGTCCGGAGTGCTGACCGCTACACCACTGTGACGACAGCCAATGGGACGGTGTTAATTGCAGTATTTTGCATTGCGGCAGACGTGTTGCTAATTTATTCCGAGTCTTTAGCATTCATACATGCTGCATATAAGTTTTATGGGAAAATGAAACAACTTTTTTCACTACATGGCTCAAAGTTTTTTGATTTGTTTAATTTATCTCCACTAGACACCTAGTATTTAATTTTAAACATCCTCTATAATATATATCCTCGTTGTTTTATCTGCCTTCTACACCAATAATTTGGTTGTCCTCATTAATTATTGCTTAATAAAACATTTCCATTTGACAGCTCAATTTCCTCTGCCTCTACGGCAACGTCACAAAGCAAAAGAAAATGTCGACAATCACCCGAATTCGATCTGTGGGTAACTTTTACTGTGCGGAGCTTCACTCTCATGAGCCAACAGAGATCTGGCACCATTGTTGTATACATCGTGATACATACACACCCATGACATGTAATGATGTGATAATTGAGAATTAATTGAATGCAATGAATAATGAGCTAATTTATTGCTGCGTTGTACAGCCCTCCGCCGTATCTACGAGTCACACCGCGTGTTCTTCGGAATGATGTCCGACGTTTCACACCAATTCAGTTCCTGA